CGGGGCCTGGCGCGCAGCCTGAGATCGCCGGACCGCAGGCCGTCCCACCACGGGCTCTGTCCCGGCCCCAGCCCCCCGCCAGCATGGCCGGCCGGACCGTGCGGGCCGAGACCCGGAGCCGGGCCAAAGATGACATCAAGAAGGTGATGGCGACCATCGAGAAGGTCCGGAGATGGTGAGCGCTGCCCCTGGGCCAGGGACACAGCCAAGCCACCTCCTCCTAACGCGTCCGCCCTTTCCTGGCCAGCTGCCCCCGCCCACCAGCTGTGCTCTGAATCGACTGGGCTCCCCCCTTTCCCTGGCAATCCCCAGAGGTCTACAAAGCGTGGTCCGGAGTGGTGCTTTCCCAGAGCGGGAGCTCATCTATGCCCCGCCCCCTGAAGCTTTGACACTCTTGCAAGCTCGGCCCCGGGTCTTCATTGCCAGAGTCCCTGGCCAGGCCTTGGTGGCGCCCTGCTGTGTGCCCCAGGTGTCTACAGAACCGCAGCTCCAAGTTACATCCGTCTGTGCCCTAGGCTTTGCAGGGCTCTTTCTGGTTCTATGCCCTGTTAGCGAAGCTTCCCTTACCCGAGCACATCTTCCCGCCCCCCCCCCTCCCGCTCTATGGGGCTCACCCTTGGGCCTCCCTGACCAGTCTCCTGCCCTCCTCCCACAGGGAGAAGCGCTGGGTGACTGTGGGTGATACTTCCCTTCGAATCTTCAAGTGGGTGCCTGTGGTGGATCCCCAGGAGGAGGTGAGCACGCCCAACCCCCAGCAAGCCTTGCATCTGGGCAACCTCAGGCAGTTCCCTCCCTACCTTGGCCTCCACCTTCAGTCTGCTTGGAGACTCCAGTGTGGAGCTCAGGCAGATGGTAACGATTATTAGCACACACACACACACACACACACACACACACACACACACACACACACACACACACACACACACCCCACAATGCCTCCCTCCCTTCTCTGAGCTCAAGACCTAAAACTCAGCCTCCACAACCTGAGACTTCACCTCTTGCTTCTCTGAGCCCAGGTTTCCTTATTTGTGTTGAGGGGGTCTGTACGTGCTCACCAGACCACTGGCTCTGACCTTACCCCTCTCACTCTCAGGAGAGGCGGCGGGCAGGAGGCGGGGCAGAGAGATCCCGAGGCCGGGAGAGACGCGGCAGGGGCACCAGTCCCAGAGGGGGTGGCCCCCTCATCCTGCTGGATCTCAATGGTATGTACAGATCCTGGAATGGGGCGGTGGCGGGGGGGGGGGGGAGCTACTAGGGGCCCCCTGGCCGACCAGCTTGGCTCTTGTTCAGCAGATGAGAGCAGCAACCAGAGTTTCCATTCAGAAGGTTCACTGCAAAAGGGCACTGAGCCCAGCCCTGGGGGGACTCCCCAGCCCAGCCGCCCTGGATCGCCTACTGGACCCCCAGAAGCGATTACGGAGGATACTCAGCCCCCACAGCTGGGCCAAGAGAGAGGTAGGCCCAGGTGGCTCTCAGGAGCCCTCTCTTCTCCAAAGTTGACCCAGCTTGTCCTTGTACCTAGGCCATGTCCCCTCTCCCCGTCCTGCCCCCGGGGGAGAACCTTCCCTGACCCTGGCAGAAATCACATCCAGCTGCCGTCTCAGTCCCCTGGCTTTGTAGGTAGCATATCACCGCCTGAAATGTTTATGCAAAATTTTTTTTTGCTTGCTTATTGTCTTTTCCTGTTACCATCTCGTGTCAGCCCTACCGATCTTGTTCATTCGTACTGTGGGATACATAATAGATGTTCAGCAAACACCTGTTGGGGGAATAAATAATGCTGATAACCAGAGTGGTTGCTAGCAGCAGAATACCGGCTAACCTAGCCCCTCCCCTGCTGAGGGTTCGGAACACGTCAACGTCTGTCTTTTGTTTTCTCATTCAATCTCCACTGTCACTTTATGGGAGCCATGGTCCTATCATGATTCCTCTTTATACACGGGGAGCCTGTCACCCAGAGAAGGATGGCCAGACTTACAGAGCCAGGGAGCCAACACCTTGGGCCTGAGTCCGCTTCAGCTCCTCTGCCTTGGTATAGTCGGTCCCCCGTCTGGTCAGTGCGACTTTGCAGTGTGGCTGATTTCTCTGCCTCTGGCCCTGCCTTCTCGGGTCTCGCTTGTGCCTGCTCTAGCCTCGCCTCCCGTCCCTCACGGCCTTCACAGAGCTACGGGACAGCTTTTCCTCAAGCACAGATTCCAAGGGATTATCTTCCTGCTTCATATCCCTCAGTGGCTCCGCATGGCCTTTGGGTCTTTACTTTGGCACTGGGGCCGCTGAAACGTCCCCCCCCCCCCAGAACACCGAGACATGGGTGGGCCTCAGGACCATGTCTGGATTGTTCCAGACACTTTTGTTAATGGTAGGACGGGGTGCAGCCCAGTGGTAGAGTGCTTGTCTGACATGCCCAAGGCCCTGCGCCCCATTTCTAATACCACAAAAAGGAGTGAATGAGTGAATGAAAATGCTAGCTAGCACTTACTGAGTGCCTCCTGTGTGCTAAGGGCTTTCCCGGTATTGCTTCACTTGGTCCTCGTGGCAGTGTCTTGGGGTATTGCTGTCACTGTTCCCATTCTGCAGATGATTTAACCGAGATCAGAGAAATAGCTTGCCTAAGGTCAGGATTTGGATTTAGTGCAACATAGAATCTGTGGTCACTAAGCCTAAACTCTGCTGCGCCTCAGTTTGTCTCCTGGCTCACTCTCTACTAACAAAATCCAATGTGAACCTCCCTCCCTTGGCATCTTGGTGCCCTCCTCTGGTCCCCACAGTGTTGTCTTGTGTGGTCGGTGCCCGCCCGTTTCTTTTGCCCCCGGCCTGTTCTCCTGGCACAGAGTGGCTGCTCAGGAGGTACCTGTTCATTTGGCATTCCAGACCCAGGGGGCACACCCGCAGGCAGTACTGAGGACCCCCCGAAGCTGACCAAGGAGGAACCTGTTCCAGAATTGCTGGAAGCTGAGGTGAGAGAGGCCAGAGGCTGGACTCTGGCCTTGTGGGGAATGGGTCTTTGGGGGCACAGGGAGATTGCATTCTAGGGTCCAGGAGGGAGATGTGGACCTAGAACCCACCGAAAGGCTTAAGTGAGGTTGGACTCTTGGGTGAAGAGGATTGTTTCGGAGACACCATCCTGAGGGCTGGATCACGGCTGATTTAAGAGCATTGGAAGCCTGAAATGATCTTGGTGTTCCTCTAAGGATAAAAACAAAAACCTAGGCTCAGAGTGCAGCTTGGTGTTGCTTCCCTTCCTCAGTGAGCACGAGAGCCTGGCCCCTGCATCACACAGACACACATCCTGAGCGGTCAAGTTAGCGTGAGACGTTGCCATGCCTCCCCCTGCAAGGACTACCTTGATTCAGTTTCCCGAAAAATCCAATTCTTTCCCCCAAACAGCGTTGCCGTTGTTGTTGGTCACTTGGTCCTGGGCCAGACTCTGGGTCCCCAGGGGAATAGAGTGGAAAAGGCAGAGGCTAGGAGGCTATACTCCTGGTCAGAGTGGAGCTCACACCTGTCCGCCCTTCCTCTTCAGGCCCCTGAAGCTTACCCTGTCTTTGAGCCAGTGCCACCTGTCCCTGAGGCAGCCCAGGGTGACACAGAGGACTCGGAGGGCGCCCCCCCACTCAAGCGCATCTGTCCAAATGCCCCTGACCCCTGAGAAGCTGCCTGCCTCCTGTCCTGTCGCTCCAAGGGCCCCTTTGGCTTTTTATAAATAAAGACCCTTTTGTAATTTTGTGTCATGTGATTTCCCTGTCAAGGCTGGGGAGGGTCTTTGGAGACAGTTTTGGCTCATGCTCTAGTCCTCAGCCGGGGTCCCCAGGGCTCTGAGATGACCTGTATTCACACCGTGATTAGAGGGCTTGAGCCGGGACCTCGCCTCCCATTCACTCCCACCTTGCCTTCTTCACCGACTTTGACCCTCCCCTGGGACCCAGCAGATATCACAGCTCCCATTTCACTCACAGGAACAGAGGCCCAGAGGGGTAGAGAGGCCTGGGAGGACCCGACTCCTGAACCGTCCCTTCCGTGCGGGGCTCTAGGCCCACACTTCTGTGCTGAGTCCTCTCGTCTCCTGCGTAATTGCCACCTCCTCCTAGATGCCTTCCCTGATTCTAGGCTCCATCAACATCATCTCCTTGGAGTTCCCACAGTCCTTTCCGCTCCCTTCCCTTTGTCTTAGCATTTGTCGGGCTGTTTGGGGATCACGAGTCTGGATTTCTGTCTTTTAGGCTGTAGGCATCTCTAGGACTTAACACTGGGAACACAATAAGCCATGAATGGATGAGTAAACAAATTGGGCTGGGCATGGTGCTGAGGCAGGAGGATTGTGAGGTCCTCTGTCACTGTCTGTGTGGCTCTAGGCAGGTTGTTTCTGCTCTCTGACTTGTTTGTTCACGGGGTAATAACCTGGCCTCACCCCTGCTCTACCCCGCCCCACCCCCACTCCTGGCCAGTGCCCAGTGAGAAACTTCAACCATACAAGCACTTCTTAGTCCGTACTTGTCAGAGAAGCAGGTCAGGTGAGGTAGCCCTGTTTTAATTCTTATCAAAAGGAGAGACTGAGGTTTAGGGAAGAACCATTTAAAATGTCCGAGTGTCTGCTGTAGTATTAGTGGGACCAGGGCTGGCTGGGAAGGCCACTGCAGGCATGTGGTCGTATGCGCTCCTGTTGTTGTGGAAACAGATGACCCCCACAGATTCATAATGCCATCGTTCTGAAGGTCAGAAGTCCAGACTTGGTGTCACTGGGCCAGAGTCAGGGTGCCTGCAGGGCTGGCGCCTGCGGTGGGCTGTCAGGGAAAATCCGTTTTCTTGGCTTTTCCAGCTTCTAGAAGCTACGTGGACTCAGGAATGGATTCAAACTCTGACTTGTCCTCTCCTCAACCCCAGCTAATCTTTCTGCCTCTCTGCTTGTACGATTGCATCTCTTTACCTGGACCTCCGCTGCTCATGTGGGTGTCCTAGGTATACAGGGTCATCCCCTGCCCATCTTAGAATTCAGTCCATCTGAAAATCCATTGACATGTAAAGTAGCATGCTCATATGCTGGGGCTTAGGATATGGACATCTCTGAAGGGCCAATAATCAGTATGACCACATGTGGTAACCTCAGCAATTTTCTGGGTGTGTGTTGTCTCATTATTCCCCTCAGTGACACTGTGAAGTAATGTAAATGCTCTACAAACTGTAAAGTGCCTTGTATGGCTTAGCAGCATGATGTTACAGCCAAGAGTTCAAGTTCTGGGTTTGAATTTCACCATCTGCCTTCAGTTTCTTATTTTCAGTTTTATGTGTATGGGTGTTTTGCCTGGAAGTATACCTATCACCATGTGTGCAGTGCCTGAGGTGACCAGAAGAGGGGGACAGATCTCCTGAAACTGGGGTTACAGATTTTAGATGGTGTGTGGGTACTGGGAATGGAACTTGGGTCCTCTGGAAGGGCAACCAGTGTTCTTAACCACTAAGCCATCTTGCCAGCCCCGTTTTAAAAAATTATTATTTTTAATTATATGTAGGTGTGTGTGTGTGTGTGTGTGTGTGTGTGTGTGCCTGCCTACATGTGGATATGTGTGCATGAGTGCAGATGGCCTCGGAAGCCAGAGGTGTCAAGTCCCCTGGAGCTGAAGTTACAGACAATTGTGAGCCACTGTGTGGGTACTGGGAGCCTGAGTCCTCTGCAAGAGCAGCAAGCTCCTGACTACTGAGCGGTCTCTCAGGTCCTGCTGTCATTCTCAGTGTGATGTATTTCTTTGTTCTCATCTGCCTTGTTTTGTGATCTGTAAAATGGGGACAATAATAATGTGAGCCAGGTGAAACTATTCTAAGAATTAAACGAGGAAATCCATGGGGAGAGAGCCCTGGACTCAGTGCTCAGTAAATGTAAATGACGGCTCTTTTCCTCGGCATCCCATATTACTGATAAGGATGTACCACAGTGTAGGGCAGGTACCGGGGACCTGCCCATCATTGAAGCTGGGCAGGTTCTGGTTCTGTAGCAGGTATCCATTTCTGAGTAGCCTTAAAAGATTCAAGTTCAGTCTTACCTGTTCCTCTCCTGGTCACAGGCCTTGGCTACTGTCCCAAGCCTATTGGATACTTTCTCTGTGGCCAACACCCCCAGCCCTGTCTTGGTCTGTGGGCTGCTCTTTTTCTAGTCACATTCTGCTGCATACATGCTGTGCCTTCCCGTCCCTCCCCAAGTGCACTCTTTGTGGGGACTCTCACACTGCAGGCGCCCCCTTCTTCCCCACTTACCCCTGGCCCATGTCACCTGGGTGCTCTTGGCCCTGTCCTAATTTTTTCTTTATGAACATTCTATCTTCCTGCCTCACAAGACCTCTTCTCAAGTTAATTTCCTTTCTGTTCTGAGCTTGCAGACTCAGTGGCCAAAAGGTGACAGAACCCCTGGGCTGTCCTGAGGGTCCCAGTTTCATTTCCTTATCTACCCATCCTTTCCATTGCCTGTGCTCATCATGTCTCCATCCCCAGTCCCCATTCCTGAGCTGGAATGTCCTGAGTCTCCATCCCGTTATGTAGCTTTAGTCAGGGTTCTCTAGAGGAACAGAACTGGTGGAGTGAATATATGTAAAGATAATTTAGACACTGTTCCATTGCTGTGAAGGGACACCGTGACCAAGGCAGCTCTTATAAAAGGAAGCATTTGATTGGAGTCTTGCTTACTGTTTCAAAGATCGAGTCCATGATCATCGTGTCAGGGATCGTGGTGCTGGAGAAGGAGCTGAGAGCCACCACATCCTTATCCACAGGCAGGTGGGGGAGCGCAAAGAGGGATAGAATGTGACATGCTGGCCTGACTTAGGCTTCTGAAACCTCCAAACCCACCCCCAGTGACACACCTCCTCCAACAAGGCCACACCTCCTAATCCTTCTCAGACAGTTTACCAACCAGGGGCTAAGAATTCAAATATATGAGCCCATGGAGGCCATCCTTATTTAAACTACCAAAACACCTTGTTTTGTTTTGTTTCTTGAGACAGGGTTTCTCTGTGTAGCCCTAGCTGGAACTACTGTAGTAGTCCTGGAACTCACTCTGTAGGCTAGACTGGCCTCAAATTCAAGCGATCTGCCTGCCTCTGCCTCCTGAGTGCTGGGATTAAAGGTGTGAACCATCAATGCCTTTTGTAACTGTGCAGGCTTCCATATTAAACCTAGAATCTCCACTCAGAAGTCCCACATCAATAAACTCAGCCTGATCCAGTTTTTTTTTTATTTATTTTATGTATATGTGTTTTGTTTAGCCTGTATGTGTGTGTGTGTGTGTGTGTGTGTGTGTGTGTGTGTGTGTGTGTGTGTATCTATGTACCACGTGTATGAGTTACAGTTGTAAGCTGCCATGTGGATTCTGGGATCCTCTGGAAGAGCAGTCAGTGCTCTTAACTCCTAAGCCATTTCTTCACCTACCCACCCCGAAATCCAGTTTTATGTTCCTTCCACCAATATCCCACACCCTTATAATCCAGTCCCACACACAGTCCCCAGATGTCTGCTTGACTGAATTAGCAGACTCATCAAGCTCTTTAGTAGCATATCACACCTCCCCGTGGACTACATTTCTACCTCCCCTCTAGGAGCCTGCCTGGCCTTAAGTCTGGTTATAGGTCGAGAGCAACTATTGGTGGCCCCTGGAGGACTTTAGTATTCTCTCGCCTGGCATTTCTTTCAGGGAAAGTCATGGCTGGTTTAGCTGACAGTGAAGAATTGATTTCCTCAGGCAAAGGCAGAAAAGGCAGTGTTTCCAGAAGGGAGTTGGGGTGGGGATGCATCTTTTGCTGAGGGTAGAGAAACTTCTTCCTCAGATGAGATAAACCCTTGAGAATCAGAAGGTTCAGTGTTTTCAGATTCAGTAGGGTCCTGTCACACATCTCCATCCAAATTATAGGGTCCCATTCTTTACCATCTAACGCCCTTACTGTGACTGCTGACACCTTCCGAGGCCTGGACTTGG